ATAACACCACAACCTCATATTCATATAGTGCTTTCAAAATATCAACATGTTTAATGTCTGCAACAGCATTTCATTCTAACAATCATTCAAGGTGGCCAGATCACAAAGACTCAATATCCACCCTTTGATCAATAAATAAATAGAAGCTCCATGAATTAAATGCCTCACCCCAAATCACCTATCATATTAGAGATTGAACATCCAGCACAATTTGTCTCTTAACTCATCAGACTACATAATTTCACTATATCCACACTAAGAAAAGAAAATCCTGGAAAATAACAAGTCATGGTACCACTGACCCACGTTCATGGATGACAAAAATAAATTGGCAAAGAAGGGTATACCATAGAATATTTTCATTGAAAATGCCTAAGAGAAATAGCTCAAAATTGTGCATACAGAATTGAGAACATCTCAGAGAGCCGATATCTCATGTAATTGAATGGCTTAAAAGATACTGGTATTGAAAAAAAGACCAATGAATTTCAATTTCAAAGGTGTTTATTTCCATTTTTGAAGGAGGAAAAATGACCTTCACTTTGTCACACATGCTCCCACATGAGAAACGAGGCACTATTCGTACTCTGGTGCAAACGCAGTTTTAAAATGACAAGTAAAAATAAATAAATAAAAATAATAAAAATAAATAAAATGACAAGTAATATAGCTCCCCTAAGCTGAGGGCAGTATGTATAGATGTTTTTAGACTACAAGTCAGCACTTAGAAAGGACATTATCACATTGGCATAAATGACTCATAAGTAGGTGAATGTATCTTCAAAAAGGTGAGCAAAGCTCTGGAGTGTTCTTCATGAAGTGTGCACCACACTGGCCTTCCTATGGTAGGGCCCAGGGCTGCTCATTGAATGAATGGCTTGGCCAGTCCTCATGCAGACTGAAGCCTCATTAGAGCCTCCAGGTCCTCAAAAATGATGGAATCAAGGACAAGGAGAACCTTCAAGTGAAAGCATTAGGACTAACCAACCAAGAGTTCATCAAATTCAATGGATTATCATTTCTTAAATTATCCCTGCTTCTTAAGGAGAAAGATTTAGGACAGGATAGTGAGGAAGGTAGAAGAGATAAAGGGAAGACATCAGCCAGAAAGTTAATTTTAAGACATAAATCAGATCATGTCACTCTACTTTAACCTCCAGTGGCTCCCCATCTTACTCAGAGGACAAGTCAGAGTCCTCACTGGGGCTGCATGATTTGACCTGCCCTCCCCCCATAATGCTCTCCCATCCCTTCTCCCTCCAGGCATAGTAGCCTCCTTATCAGTGCTTAAACATGCCAAGCACAGTTCTACCACAGGTCCTTTGCACTTGCTGTTTCTTCTGCTTGGCATCTCTTTCCCTGAGCCAGGGGTTGGCAGACTTTTTCTGCAAAGGACCAGGTAGTAAAAGGTTTAGGCTTTGCAGGTCATACAGTCTCTGCTGCAGCTTCTCAACTCTACTACTGTAGTGCAAAAGCAGTGTTCACAGACAATACGTAAACAAATGGGTGTGGTTGTGCTCCAATAAAACCTTATCTACAAAAGCAGGTGGCACACCAGATTTGG